TAGGTTTTTGGTTTCTTCTTTAGCAAAATTTTTTTAGGAGTTTTGCTTATGATTAGCTATGAATAGTATTTTCTGTTTTTGCCACTCCTTTTTTTCATTTTCACTGGCATTTCAGTTCAAATGATAATGATAGAGAGGGAAATTAGGAACCAAAGCCTGTCTGTATTTTGTTATTTAAAGCAAAAAAATTCATTATTTTAGGATTCAAAAAGTTGAGAGAATTTCCTGGAAAAATTATAAAGTTGTTATAATACTGTTTTCATGTATAATATAATTGCTATCTATCCATATTGTCTAAAAACTGAACCTTATATTATACGATAATTTTCCCAAATACGATTTGCAATAGTATAGATATTATTTGCAATAAGAGATACAAGAAAAAGAGCAAATTTTCAGTAAGTAGGAATAGATGGGTCAACCTTGAGAGAATAGGCTTGAATTCCACCAGCCACATTGTACACACTCTTGAAGCCCTGAAGAACAAGAGAACAATCCATCAAGACATCATCCTTACATGTCTTTATGCAGATATATAAATATATGAGGAGCAGAAAAAGCTTTTTACCTGGGACTGCAACCAGTTCGCAACCTGCAACGACCTACCACCAACCTTACACTGCATGGGAACAGAGGCCGGAATTCAGAGAACTTAAAATAATCATTTTAACATAAAATGTGAGCTTTAATATCTATAGACCAATTCTTCTACCAATTCACCAAACCAGAGAGGCTTTGATTTATGAGAGGCTCTTAACTCTCAATCAAATGCCCAACGAAACCCTAGAAAATCCACACCCAACAAGTATAAACCCAGCACTCAAGAACTGCTCTCTTACCAACTCACAACAGCTCTAAGCTGCTATACTTCAGTGCTAGGCTAGATAGAGTAGACCTATATCTACGAGTTGAGTCACTGAATTTCTTCAAAGCTTATTAAATGTAATAGCGAACGAGGATGGACATACCAAGACGAATGTATCCTTCTCAGGGTTCAGCTTTGATGTGATGTCAGGTGCCCACTTTCCGAACTGGCGGAGCGGGAACGCTTGGAATCCTGGCAAGGATGCCATGGCTCTGGTACAAGAAGTAGTAAAACAAAGTAGAAAAAACAATGTGAAACGACTATGGATACTTTGTCCTTTCTCTACAACAAAAGTGTGTGAGGTACACATGTGTCTAAATGGTAGAACAATCAAACTCTGCCAGATACAAATGAATCATAATCTTGTTGAATGTTTAGACAGAGTATGAAGCTAATCCATTAACAGAAGAAGGAAAAGTATGCGAAGATGAGAAATGAAAGGGACGTACATTTCGTCAGGTTCTCTAACATCAATTAACTGAGCATCTTCCATGAAAACTGGATCTAGCATTTTGGAATGCAGCTCCTCCACCTGGATATCTTTCACAGGTTCCCTGTTAATATTTTATTTCTTTCTGTTAAGACAGTTTACAACAGTAGATAGAAAACGTAACGTAGCTAAGGGATGATGGTTTTCAGAAAACTCACCTCTCAGATAGAACTTGCAATAAGTGCCAGCCGAATTGGGTTTTACACCTCACAACATGATTCGGCTCTGCACTAAACGCAGCTTCCTCAAACTCTGGTACCTGAAAACAATTATAAAGTGGTCTGTCATACTTATCGTGCAGCTACAACTAGCCAAAGTACTTCCATGGAAAATTCCAAACATTGTGTAAATTTCTTATATCATTGGTTACATTCTACTACTCCCATTTGCAAATGCATGTAAATAATGAAAGTTAAATCACCAGAAATTGTTACATCAACCAGTTGCTTGTGTCATAACAAGGCTAAGACAGCGAGAGTCCTATAGATCTCACAGTATCAATCCAACCACAAAAATGGATAAAATCATAGATAAGAGAGCGTACCATTTGACCCAGTTTTACCCATCCAAGTATACCGCCCTCCTTTTTGGATGGACAAATCGAATACTCAGCCGCAAGATCACTCATATCCTCTCCTTCACAAAAAATAGTTGCTTGAGAAACAGTACACACCATTATAATCTTCTGACACACAGACCAAATAAGATGACACTCAACTAAGTCGAAATTCATAAATGTATCAGTACGATATGTTCCACATTTTTCTTTATCAAAGTTACCAAACTAAGCAAAACCCAAAACCAATAAAAGATGAGTACGCAGAGCTGCAACTGTGACACGTTATAAAGATTACGGCTCCTATCTATGTATGTTGAAATAAAAGCTTAAACTATCATCTGAATGAAAATATCAAATGGGTAACAAGGGAATTAAAGAATCAGACCATCCAAGATTCTCTTTTGGAGTTCAGCTAAGAGCTTAGAATCCTCCTCCTTGACAAGCAAATGCTGCACCAGAATCTCTCTACTTGCACTATTCCCACTGCTAAACGAAGCTGGAGAAACAAAAGATATATATATATACACAGATTATCAGAAATCAACCAATCCAAAAAGCTAATAATCAAGATTACAGATAACCCAGGTCAAAAAGCAACTGTAACCCAGAGAGTCAAATCCGAGTAAAGTTTAGTTTGTTCGAATCAATCAAGTATTTGATAGAGCAAGTAAGGGGGGGGGGAATTTGGTGTTGTACCTGTGGCTTTGAGAGCCGAGAAACCAGAGAGGCTCATCGGGCACAGAGAAGGAATGCGTGGTCGGAGTGAAGAGATGGGTCTGCCGAGAAATGAACGAGAAAACGTCGAGAACCAGCGGAGATGGGGAGGAGAGGCGAAAGCGAGAGTGGAAGCAACTGAGAGTCTCAGAGCGGCGGAGAAAGTCGCCACCGCCGGAGAAGATGCAGCCGAGAGATTTCCGGTCACTCTAAACATTGTGGGTCACGAGTTCAAGTGTACTAGAATTGAATCCATTGAATTATGTGCGAGTCTTTTGAAAACCGGACCGGTTCGACTGGAAATCATCTACTACATGAGTCAAAATTCAGATTTGAGTTAAATCGGTTTTACCGATAATCCGATCTCATGCCAAAATCCGGTTCACAAAATTTGAAACACAATTTTGAGTCCTTTAATCAAAAATTTTAAACTATAGTTTTTCTTTCTTTCTTAACGCTTGCAAGTTTATTCAATAACCGAAACCAAACAACATTCCACATGTTTTGTTTGTAAGAAACATCCAAAGAGAGGAAAACAAAAACCACAAATGCCAGTAGGCACCATACAAACTTCAAGGGAGAGACCTCTCCATGCCGATAATGGAGGAGAACAAAGCAAAGCCGAGACGTCAAACTGTAATGGCAAGATCCAATTTGACAAGAGGTCGAGGCTTTTAACCTGAAACTGCTTCAGATGTGAGGATGTTATCAAGCCAACGCGGCCCACCGCGGGAGACATAAGATTGTGACCGTCCATCTTTAATCACGCTCACCGCCACGGCTTGAGCCGCTTGATTACTCCCTACGTCGGAGTGAACCAAACTCCAATAGCATTAGAAGAATGTGATCCGTCAATCCTCGATACATAGGAAATGTTTGACGGTGGAGGAGAGCTTCTCTGGTTTGACTAAAGTGTGATTCAAAAATCACTCGACGAAACCTGAGATGAAGCTCCACAATTCTGTTTCCAGCCTAGAGGACATATTCGCATATGCTAGTGGAAAAGTATTTTGCCAGTGTAATCTCTTGTTAACCAAGAAACTCCTCCACCGAAGCTATAGTTTATAATCACTTTTTGTTTCTGTTTTCTTAGTTTCGCTCTTGTATTTGAATTTTGCTACTGCTATTTATACTACTCCATACGTTATAGTTGGCCGTCAAGACTGTAAAGACTTGTCGATAAGGTTGAAATGCAGACCATGTTGCTGAAATTTGAAGTTCTTGGACTGCTTCTTTGGAGTCGGATCCCATAACTAACACGCATATATGACAATTGACAAAGAATGCATAAAATCGCCAAAATCCATATGTATATCAATGAGCTAACGTTTTCCTTAATGACAAAACAGACATGCTACAATGGGAAGAAAGAAGATCAAGAAAAAAAGTTACAAAACCAATCTCCTTCCTACCGCTAGGTGGATGGGGGCGAAGGGATAACCGAATTGGAATCGCTAGATGGCATCCAAGCATATAGAAGCATGCCGAGTACAAGGATGACTGTGCCTGCCACGAACCCTGTTGGAAGTGAAGATGCGACCCCAAGGTACGGTAGGGGAAGCGTGAAGCAGTACACCGCTATCGGCACTGCACCATCAAAGCCAATCAAGGTTATGCGTATTAGAAATGTAAATTATGTTAACTCCTACACCATTGCTTATGTTAGTTAGATTATAATCATGATCTTACGGAATCCCTTCGTTCTGCATATTATCAATTAGAACCAACATAATAATTATGTAATTACGGAATAACGGATTCATTATACCATTCAGCGTATAAATGATAGTAAGCTAATACATATTTAGATTAGATGATCACAGAGATGATGATGATGGATATCATTGGTAATTACTAATTACCTAAAGAAGTAGTTTCCATTTAGGCTATATAACCAGACAGAGTTTGTACCTGATACGGTGGATGCAAGAGACGACACAACAGCGGATGAGATCTTGATGAGGCGTAGAAGGGAGATGTTGTAAGCCATGTTCATCATGACAAACATTAGAGGAAGAAGGGGAGCCCCTTCGCATCCTGTGTCAAACCAAAACCCAAACCCAGCATGTTGAATGCTATACACAGAGGACACCAACAAGGAGTTACTGGAGCAGAAAGCTAACCTGTTGTTTTAGCACCAATGTTCAGAAAGCAAGCACCCCCATCTCTGAGATAGCTCGGTAGTTGGTTAAACGGTATGCCCCATAGTTTTGAAAGAAAAGGAAGAAGCAATGCAACGCATATAACCTGGGTTGACCACAGAAACAGGCACATTATCTAGGAGTTAGATCTGGTTTTTAGTACCATATTAGTAAAAGATGCTGAAACCAGAAATAATCAGATATTATAAACAAGGAGCTAAACTAAGAATACCTACTTGGAAAGCTGAACCATATGAGTTTACAATAAACAGATCAAGTGAAGCACCCTGTAATAATAAGAACAGATTTCTTTCAGAATTCAAAAACCGCAAATGTAGTCAAAGGGTCTCGGGGCATAATTACCTTCAATCGCTTTTTGCTATCTAGAAAGATGACTTCCTACAAGGATATGAAATTTACTGTTAAAAAGAAGAGCCCAAAATCTTGTAGTTTGCGATATAGCTAGGAAACAATTGACAAACCTTCATTACTGTATCTGCTCCTTGAAGCAGAAAAGAAAATACCATAAGAAGACTCCAAAGTATTCCCGCATCCTTAAATGAATGAGCGGCACCCGATCCACTGAATATGCATGAGAAAATAGTATGTAAACCCAACATGGATGACATAGTTAAAACTGGTTACGTTGTGTCCTTTGACAAGGCTAACAAAAGGAAAGGGGACAAAGAAAGCAAGTCAGTCTAGTATCAAGTGAGTTAATCGAGCTGGCTAACCTTGCCACACTGACGATCACACCAAATGCTACAAGAATACATCCGAATATTTGATTTATTCTATATCTCCTTCCAAGAAAAATAACGGAGAAGAGAATTTGCCAGACAAGAAATGTCTGCAAAGAAATAAACGACTAGAATTAACTGTAGTAGATGGTTCAGAGGGAAGAATATGCATCTTTCGACGCACCAGAACAATAATTCAGGAAAACTAATGTTGTACTTCGATTCTCATGGAAGCGTAAAGAGATCCCAAGTCGATAAAATAGAGATACTAATGTTCTAAGCTTCTAACCTGAGATAAAACTGTAGTAGTTGGTCCAGAGAGATTCGCTGAGTCAAGAAAAAACGACAGTAACTAACTCATGGAACAAACGAAAGCATACATCTACTGAAATTGCATACATCTACTGAAATTGCAGTAGAAATTGGAAAGGGGAACAAGTTTAAAAGGTAGCACAAATGTAAAAATACCTGCAGCAGCCATGCCAGAAGCTAAAGCGAGAGACTCCAAGACGCCAACAATTAAGAATGGAATTTTTGGAACTGATAACATCTCTTTTGTTACAATTCCAGCTCGGTATCTGAAATACAAGATAGAATAGTATACAGCTACATACCTGCAAGAAGGAAATAGCAAAAGGAAAAATGTTTATTGCAAACTATAGTTGGTAATAAAAAACAAAGATACATCCAAGGACATTGTCCAGGAGTTGGAGTATGTGAACATGATAGCTAAACTATGAGTTTTGTCCACATTGGCTTACTTTGTCTTTCTACAAGCCTAAGGTAATGATGAGAGGAATTCAACAGTTGAAAAGCTTATCTCTAGAAGAGTCAAAAAACTGTTCAGAATTGATCAGGCATAGAAGTAAGCTGTGAAAAAAAGCACATTACACAGCTAAAAACATGCACATATCAGTTATTTTACGAAGGACTAAATTTCGAATCCAGCAAGCACAAAACAACCATATATACATTCTCTAATATTCATACACTACATTTTCTCCTAGAATATTGATACAACCACAAGGTAACAGATTTGTTGTTCTTATTAAAATCTGAAGCAAGGCAAAAATCAACTTGCACACAGCAACCCTTGTGCAAAAGATGTAAGAGGAGAAGGTGATACACGTGTGAAAAGAAACAAAATGATTGACACGTGTTAAAATGAATTCAGAAAAGTGCAAATATTTTGACACCATCCAGATCCACACTGGATATAAATATTCATTACATTCAATAATGACTAATTAATTAACTCAATGCAGAGCCAACCAAACATTCATTAATAAGTAGGTGACCCAGAGAGAGAGATATTCGCACGTGAGATAAAAAAGTTAGATGCGCATAAAAAAATTTCTGGTAAACATATAAAGTATGAAAGTATCTTTGAACAGAAATAACAAAAAGTTGAAGTATCTAATTGGAAAAGAAGTTGACAACTATGACCCATTTCGTAAATCTTTTGGAAATTACATTTTGCATACTAATATTTCACTTCATTCGTATTTTAGGCTTTCATTTTCCAAACGTGCAACATTGGTCCCCGTAACAATTTCGGAGTGATTCCGACACTTAAGCTTCTTTCAAAATTCAAGTTTTCCGATCATCAATAACATAGCATTCTAATGGAAATCGGAATCTCAGGGAGAAAGACTAATAATAATCCAAGCTGTAATCAAAACAAGGATCTGAATCTAACTTTTAACTTCATCATCGAGACGAAAGCAAATCAGAGACCTAATTTTAAGCATCGGAGAGCTGAGATGAGAGATGAGTTTACCCGAAGGTGGAGAGCTGAGCGAGGAAGAAGGGATAGTGTTTGAGAGGAACAAGTGCGAGCTTATACATTACGCGGTTCCCAACGCCTAACGCCGTCGTGGTCGCCGCTGCAATAACAATCTCGACCGTCCGGTCATGTTTTCCGGCGACCACTTGAGCACCGGTTCCACCGATTTCTTTACCCAACTTGTTGTAGTCTTCTTCGCCATCGTTGTTAGATCCGTCCCAGGACTTAGCCGGTGGAGGAACCGCCTCGATTACCCAGAGCTTGGACCTTTGAGAGGACCGTAAGACGATAGGCGGTGATAAACCATTGGTTTGATTTCGGCAGGTTAGAGAAATGGATTGAGGTCGAATAGCATTACGCGATTCAATTGAACTGATCGACGACGCCGTTGAACCGGCAATTAACCTGCCGGAGCTCGTCGCCATGGTTGTACTAGAGGTTCGATCAAGGAGAGAGGGAAGGTGGAAACCGTGGAATTGCGTCGAGTGTCTTATACTGACATCACACGAAACTACCTCTTTGTGCTATTATGCTATGTTGTCTGGGTAGATTTGCAAATTCAATAAAACAACAATCCCCCAACGTCACTAGAACTTTTTATCGAAATTACATATCTAACCTCACACACACACTGTCAAAGAGAGAAAAAACACATACAGTAATGGTTTCCAGAAAGGTGAGCTGATAGATTCATGATTTAGCATTGTAACTAAATGTCAATTGTAGATTACAGAAAGTTCCGAAACAGGCAAAGCAATCAAAGGAAGAGCAGTAACTAGTCCCATGAGAAAGTGAAATAGGACACATGAAACATTTTGAAGCCACCCACCGTTCTATTCTTCTCTACGCGATCATTTGCCTAATTGTGATGTGAGCGATGAGGTACGCTGCCACATTGGCCGTCCTAATATGGCACTTACGTGAACCGAGAGGTAACCGGCATTTAACCTGCAAATTGTCAAGGAACAATTAAGTAGGCATTCAGTTAGTAACTCAACCAGGTAGGAATGTGTAAGAAAGAGATGAGAATGTTTACTTGTTTACATCAGGAGTAGCCAGAGGATCATATAACTCTTGCTCTGCAACTCCACCCACTGCAGAGTTTGTAATGTCTTGTGTACCTTCTCCCTGAAAAATTGTCGACCATGAACAACAAGAAGTATTCAAATATCGAAAAAAGCTTTCAAGTTCTTTTTTTTTTTTACCTGTTGAGGATACTGGGGATAGCCATATCCACCATACGCGTACAAGGATGGGTCTTGAGCTGTACCATAAGCATATGCATCATAGCCTTGCCCATAACCATAATACCCGCTCCATTGATTCGGATCTGCTTGTGCAACCCAACCATCCTATAACAAATACCAACAATTATCAAAGACAGTCAGTTAACAAGCGAGTATAATATAAGGCCCTTCATCACATCAGTCTAGGTTACAACAAAAAAATCACCTGTCCTGGATTTTTACTCCAAGAGACTCGAACTGCTTGTTGACCAATCACATGCCCCTGCATTTTTTGAACGGCTTCTTCGGCAGAAGGCCTGGAATCAGCATGGGAAGAAGTCAGAATTTAATTTAGTGAACAGAGCTTGAAATAAACATACATGACATGCTGATACATGGAAGCAATCATAGGTGAGATCTGAGTTTTACTGGATGGTTTACCTGGTTTTGAATTGAACATAACCATATCCCTTTGTTGCAGGTATTTTGACATAAATAATTTCTCCTAATTGCGAGAATGCTTTCTTCAGCTCTTCCTCTGTAATATTTGGGTCCAAATTGGCAATTGAAACCTGTACACCAAAGCCAATGCATGAAAACAAGAAAGAAAATTCCAAGAGAAAGGTCAAGCTATTCAGATAAGACTTACCGTTGTACAGGTGATGTCACTTTCAGGTGGAAGCACCTGTCCCGGTTGAACAGCGTATGCCGGTACTGGCGCAACAACTGCAGATTGGACTGGAACTGGATAAACAGCTAGAGAAGAACTCCCAATCAAAAAATTGATTTCCACACAGTATATATACAG